AATTGGTTATATTTATTGGTTGCATTGGTACAAACGTAATGTGTAGTGATGTTCTCCTTCTCAGAATCCGCTTTTGCTTGACAGGTTTCCTGAAACGAAGATAAATAATAAATTACAATTCGTGTACATCTTCGGCATCAGCAGTGGAAACAAAAAACTAAACAAAGTTGTAGAGGCTAACTCAGCAAGTCCTAAATAGATCCAATGCCCGCAATTTCCGAATGATGCTCGCGCCAAAGCTGGAGTCTTGTCGATATATGGGTCAATTTAACACTTGCTCCATTAATCCCATTGGTGATAATAATAAACCGTGTGTACGCCACTGATGCGATTGCAAGATTCAGTGATTTTAAGTATTATTGGACGCAGCGAAGTTAAAGTTATGGAGAGGTGTATGGTAATAAACCGTAATATCAGTCCGTACAGACCTGAGCCTAGGATCCAAGGACCGCATGCGTCTTAAAACGTGAACCAGTCGGTACAGTCGTAGCGAAGATATAGTGAGTAGGCGATTACTTGGCGTCAAATTTGCTCAATTCAAGCACTATTGTGCTTACTTCACTCCACTTTTGCTTTTTACTGCCGATATCATGTAGCTTAATAGAATCAACAGCTCCGTCGTCCCCATCATAATTTCTAACCATCCCACACTAAACTGCGGTAGCAGCCTGCTCATCAAGGGGCTTACCTTTAGGAAACCGATCAGCTAACTTGCTTCCATTTGCAAACCAAATCTTGTGGTTTCCATCGCCCGATTATATATAAGAATCTTTCACATCTCAAACACATAGCACGTTGGAAGCTGTCCGCTAATTCAAGCTATTCTGAGGCTCTGTTCCATGTCTGCTATACGAGTTTTGGCATCATCTGGCTCATGTTTTGTGCCGAAGTATTGTGACCCATCTTTACTCTCATAGTTATGTCCAAAATATCCGAGAAGCTAAGTCACTAGGGTAGCCACACCCGAAGCGACCTAAATGTTCCTGAAAATGATTGTGGGCTCTCTGAGGACTGCAAGGTTTACTTCATTTCATCCTGACTATGAATAATCCACCCCTAAGAGAGCTTTGCCTTCCTATCCACATATACCCTACCAGATTAAGCTTTTCTGTCAGTATCTAGTCATTTCGTAGTCATGGAGAGCCGGACATCAGTGTCGAACACAGATGCTTTGACGTTTTACGGCAGCCATTATTGGAAAATCACGTTCTGAAGTAAAAGTAAAGGTGAAAAGCAACCGGTCTCATTTTTACCTTTCTGCAATAATTTCAAGGTGACCACATCAACAGACAACGCTCATTCATTCATTCATTCATTCATTCATTCATTCATTCATTCATTCATTCATTCATTCATTCATTCATTCATTCATTCATTCATTCATTCATTCATTCATTCATTCATTCATTCATTCATTCATTCATTCATTCATTCATTCATTCATTCATTCATTCATTCATTCATTCATTCATTCATTCATTCATTCATTCATTCATTCATTCATTCATTCATTCATTCATTCATTCATTCATTCATTCATTCATTCATTCATTCATTCATTCATTCATTCATTCCTTCATTCATTCATTTAGGGTTCGAATAAATAATATCAAGCTCCTAAACTTTTTGTAAAAGATATCTTTGTTCAAACCATGGTTTCAGAGAGGTTTGGAGGATGCGTCTAGCTGATCCCTGGATGCATACCCCAAATCTCTCTGAAACCGTTGTTCAAACTAAGGGTCCTTTAACATAAAATTTCAGAACCTGATGGTAGTTATTCGAACCCCGAAAATCTCCCCATGGGGTCACAGTTTTGTTGGAAGTTGTTTACACGTACTTTGGGTCCGCTGTGGGCGCGGCATTCATATTTTTGCCTATCAGTGCCCTGGCATCTTCTCCATAAAGGTGGGAAATTCTGTAGAGAAGTAGGTAATTTCAAGCATGTTACCATCATAACCAGAGATAGGTGAACCTTATCAAGAGTGAATGTTTTAGTAACTGATTTATTCAGACGCTGCAGACAAGACAGTGGACATGAAGGTTGGTGACAATATGTCGGAATGAACTTTTGAGGCCCGAACGCATATGACAAGAATGGGAAAGAGCCTCAATGTAGTTTGAACTAGTGAGCGAGTGGGTGAGGGGAACTGCACCCATATTCTTCAAAAATGGTCTCGGCGAATACCCTTTTCGAACATGAAGAAACGGACCAAAGGATTTTTCAAAGCTAGATGCCAAAAAGGTTTGGGCGTGCGGCCCGCTTCCATATATACTCTTCTAATTCCACTGCGGAGAGTTGTCTCAAAGTACAAATATAGTTCTTCTCTGATTCAAGCACCTCTCTGCATAGTACTCGCATTGACTTCCAGATAATCTATGGGGCCCACGTCAGACCACTTCTTGAATACGCCGACCAAGCTGTCTACTTAGGTGGCAAGGGGGTTGTAACCGTCATTGAACCTGTCCAAATAGCTCATTCGAATATGGCTGCTGATCCCAAATCCGTTGGTGATACAGCGCGTCTTGGAGTTCTCGGACTATTCTGAAATACAACTGTCACATACTAAGGGATATGGCATTTACTTATGCCCCGTTTGAACAAGACCCAGCGGGCAGATTCTTCGACGAAGGTCAGGGAAGATGCCGTACCAACTAATCTATGGGCCCACGTCAGACCACTTCTTGAATACGCCGACCAAGCTGTCTACTTAGGTGGCAAGGGGGTTGTAACCGTCATTGAACCTGTCCAAATAGCTCATTCGAATATGGCTGCTGATCCCAAATCCGTTGGTGATACAGCGCGTCTTGGAGTTCTCGGACTATTCTGAAATACAACTGTCACATACTAAGGGATATGGCATTTACTTATGCCCCGTTTGAACAAGACCCAGCGGGCAGATTCTTCGACGAAGGTCAGGGAAGATGCCGTACCAACTAAAAATGCTAAGCCTGTTGGCTGTCGCTAGGTTGCAGAATAAAACAGCGTGTAGGCAGAATTCCAAAGCAGCATTTGAATTAGAGTACCCTTTACCCTAGAGGCAAGCAACAGAATGTATGAAACCCAACCAGCGAAGCTCATGGCCACAGGAACGGACGCAGTGTCTTTCACATATTTGAACCTACCCGTCGGGGCACGCGAATTCAAACTGGTCCCAAATTGGGCAACCGGCCTCACTCAGTGCCGTAAAAGCGGACGCCTGTAACCTGGTGGAGCGGGTCCGGGAACTCCGACCGATATATAGTGTCTTAAAACAGAATGCCAGCGAAGCGATGGGATTCCGATAATCAGTGCGCCGTAAAGAGCAGAAACAGAGCTTCCTCCCGGTGACAGCCAAATCCACGTCGCTCCGCAACACAAATGCAGAACCATGGCACCAAAGAATGGGGGAGAACTCATTGCCAACCGCAAATAGGAACGTGGAACACAGATTTCAGCAGACCAAGGCATCGATCCTACCTTGACCTTCTTCCAAAAAGAGTCAATGGTGCAAACGAACAGGCGACCAGTTGATGGTCTTTCTTCTGTAATATTTTGCACTTGCTACCCTCAGAAAGTCTCAGGAGGTATCGATAAATCATATCAGCAAGAAACTGCCCCAGGATTTTTGACAAGTTGTCAAAAATGCAGCTAATAGCCGTAGATGAGCATTCTTCCCCCACTTTTCCCGCGGGGGCGGGGTCCAATTCCAATGTCTCAAATATGCCTATCGCAGCGGTTGCCTATTGTGTTCTACGGGCAGGCCCTCAGAAGGAGAGCGGGTAATTCATCCCGAGACAACCACCCTCGCCTTAAATTCTGTGCCCCGGAGAATCACACATGGGTTATCTGATTTCTTCTGACATTTGTCCTCACTGTACAAAGCAGATTATCATTCGCTCCGTGTCGTTTGGCCTCAAAAACAACATCAATGTATTACGGGAAAAGGAGCAGTTACTCTCACTTTGTTGTTTCACGTGCTGGACGGCAACTGCAGTCACTTACATTTTGATCCCATATGTCATCTGGCAAGGAATCTCAATCTGCAGTTCTTATTTTGAAATCTTTCCCTATAAAAGTTGGATGCAGTGGAGAACGTTCTGCCTCAGCTAGTAATGCATGTGCGAAACCCAACCGCAACAAGATGACAGAGGGGGCACTTAATACATTTACTGTCTTCAACAGTAATTTTGTTGATCACATTTGAAGCCGATAAAGAGAAGCAAGTGTCTTCAGAACACGACGCCAAAATTTTTGTGAATAATTTGGCATCCGTCGCCCGTGGCGATGTAAAGGGCTTCGGCGGTCACAAAACCAGTGTAAAACGGAAACCTGAAATCCTTCATCAGAAACGACGCCAAGTCTTAATTCCGCCCGGAACGACAATACGCCACACAAGTGTGTGGGACACTAATTGGGGAAAAGACTAACTGCTTCCGCTCTGGTAACCATTCCGTGAAATCCAGTCGTGATCCGGCCCTATTGAAAGCACTTTTTAGGGCACATTATGCCATCTCGTTGGATTGACATCGTTTCAGCGCATCTAAATTCCCGGCTTGGTATTATTCTAAGCCCCGAGGATTGACACCGTTTCAGCGCACCTAACTTCCCGGCTTGGTATTATTCTAAGCCCCGAGAGTCACGTTTGCGGCCCTCTGGTTAAACCGGATTTGTTTAACATCCTAGGATGAGGCGGTGTTCATTCGCGGATATTGAAGAAGACCTTGTGAAAGTTGGCAAAAATCTTCCTTGGGCGGTTTATATAACCCGTCCGCGAAGCTTCCGTTCAATTGCTTAAAGAGACTATTACTGCATGCATTTTTAAATCCCACGACCACTTAACACCGGCAAATTTGGGGCCAGCAACAGTGTAAAGTGACGAGACTTATGTTGAAAGGAATCGCCTTTAGGCTTTGAAGTACCAGAAACCTAGCATTGAATCCAACTTTACATTCATTCGTCCACTCATCTACAACCCCTGTACTTTTGACTTCCACCCGTTTTGCTCCCTTGCACTTATGTGCTAGGCATGCTCTGACATGTATGATTTCGAGTTGGGTGTCAGCGCACCGCCAGTCAGAATCATGAGAACGAACTCAAAGGTGTCGGCCGTAGTCCACACAACTGAGACCACATTATGTTCGTCATCATTTGATGTGCGAATGTTGACTACGTTGTGTCAACTGTGATACGCCTGTACATTTGCCAACGCCATGGAAGCGGATGACCAAGGATAGTTATGTACTTTTGCCCATCTTTGTGTAAACAGCACCATATACTTTCGAACCCATTGTTTCAGGCCTCTTAGTTGGACCAGAGGCGCCTGAGTTTAAATGAAAGGTATAGTCCTTACTTTTTGAGGGTGGTTTAGCTGTACCTTTCACTGCCCTTATCTCCAACAGCCCCGGCAGGGGCGTAGAAGAAACCTGTTTACAATAAGGTCGCAAGCTTCGGTTGCGTCACTTGTCCTTGCTAAAAGTTGTACGGGTGTGGGACGGTATACTCGAAAGCGTTTAACATTTAGGCTTAACACCACAGCTTATAATTTATTATTTTTGTTTGACAGAATTGTCGTACACCATGCTCCCTTATTTCCCCATGCTTTAATAGTTTGCCCCGTAATTACTTTTACGAGCTCATTAGCCTTTGGTTTTTTGAAACTACCAAGCAGATTGCGCCGATCTTCATCAAATACATAAATTCAACAAGTGGCCGCAGCGAGACAGAAAGAGAAGCATTATATATATATACATATAGTTGACCGGGAAATGCCGAAAACAGGCCCACGCCACCCCCCCCCAAAAAAGGGGTGTGTGAATTGGAGCAGTTTTGACAGGATCCCACTTTAGAGGTTGATGAAAAAAGGAGAGTCGGAGTATTCGCCATCTACAAATTTCTTACGGATGACCTGGACAGGGAGCACTGAGGTAGGAACTTGAGAAGCCGTGCAACAGAAGCTTTGAAAAGGTACTGAGCTAGTACCAGGGCAAATGACAAATTATTTAATAACATTATATTTGAGATTTGCTATTTATATATAGAGAGAGTGGTTGCGCCCGCCATCCAGTCTGAGGATAGTGTGAAGGGAAGTGCGGTGTCGTTATGTGTAGGATCTACACGGCTGTCTTCATCCTGGTCCCCTGCCTGCCTGCCATAACGCACCAACACATGCAACAGGAGACCAAGTATAGGCGTAAACGAATAGCGAACCCACCGCGTTTACCAAGCAAAGTTGGTGACGCTGGCATAGGTTGTACTCTGTGTGCAGTGTGACGGACAAATACGGTCGTACTGTGGGAAAAAAGGCGGGATATTAAAAATGCGTTTGCTTACTGCGCGGACTATAGTTCGACAAAATGAAAGTTTTAATTGGAAGTGGGTTCTCAGAAAGCGTGGAATAATAATATTAATGTTTATTCCCACATTGTGGGTGGCATACCGTCTGGCATGATCATATGGCTACAGTCAGAAGGAAGCATGACTGGGGGTTTATGGGGGTGCGGATCGCACAAAAACAGGACGATGTCATAAACAGTGGGGAATGTTCGATGAAATAGTAATAATAACAACGTGTAACCGAGGATTTACGGAGTAATGAGGAAAGATTTAACGGGCCTTGGCCTGTAGGCCGTGGAGGCCAGTGAAAGTCTACAGCAGGTGCTGTTCGGATACCGAGAGCAGGTAAAGGTAGTCCAAGTCGCAGTGGGTGGTTCAACCAGCGATAAAGATACAGAAGCTGATGGTGAGTTTTTAGTGGGAGCAAGCCTAGATGTCGATACGTCAGGTGTTTTAAGGCGGGATGTTTGAAATCACACTAATGGACAGGTTGGCGCTCAGTATTCGCACAATGGAATTGAATTTTTGAAAGCTATGAAGTGTCCCTGATTGGACTAAAGCAATCAGTCAACTGAATTTAGAGTACCAGTCCAAGCTTTTGAGCCTCATTTAGGCATCATGGAGTTTCGGCGATGCTGGGGAATTATCCCACAAGACTTTTCAGCCAAAGGAACGTTTGCTTTAGTGGACAATTTGGTGAGCTAATGTGAACGTAGATTATGATGGTTTCCTGGTTGAGCACATACGCAGAAAAATGCAACATTTTGGCGCAAAAGTTTTCACTTCACCTTAAAGGTTTTGCAGCTAAGGGCATTGTGCCGCTGATAGGTCTCGGCTGGGATTCGCTCACAATGCTGCATAATGAAAACTTTTTCCAGGCTGTACTGTTTTAAAGGAGTACTCTTGTGGAAGTCCTGGTGGATTTTCGCTTCATTCGACGAGTGGATGGATTTGATCGTGTGTTCCTGGAGTTCAGATAACAAAGGTATTCTTGCTTGACAGACGCGTGTCCGAAAGGTGGAGGAGTTTCTACATTCAATGAGGAACTGTGGTCCCTCACTCTGAGCCGTGTCCATGATACTGGGGTCGAGGGTGCCAAAAACAAGGACTGGCTGTCTCAAGGATGTTTCTTGCCATGATGTGTTTGCCGGGAACGTCAGACTTTCGTGGAGGGTTATTTTAAAAAGTCGAGGTGTCGGAGCTCTCAAGAAAACATAATTTTTAACAGTTTTGGAACACGAAGACCCGAAACATGATATTAATCAAGATCGCGAACGGTTGACGCCCTATGGTGTACCCAAAATTTTGGACGGTAGGGTAGAACGCCACGAGCTCGCGTTTGGATGCACAGTTATTCTTCTCTGGTGGCACGGAACGTCCCAAAAGGAACACAACAGGCCTTTGAATTTCTTCTTTCCAAACCCGTATAGCAGCATCACCGTATGCATCACAAGTCTATACGGCTGGCTAAGCGGGGTGGTGGTGGCAAATTAGTGAAGCATTATGGTCGAAGCAAGAAGCCCTAACCGTTCGTTAGAAATCCGGGCGAATTCGCAAGCAGATTAACAAGTTTAGTACAGTCTGGAGTAAAATTTTTTGTTCCACTTTCAGAACGCCATCCAACAGCAAAAATTAGACTACAGGTCTCCGGTGACACCGATGACGAAGCACTGGAAGCTTTGCTTTGCACTTCAGAGACAAATGGTCAAGCGTGGAGGTCGAATTGCACGTTAATACCTGTTTTCAAGGTATCACGAATGGTTGTCAGGAGCTGGTGTTAAGCGCGGATCGGAATTATTTTCGGGAACCCGCCAGTGGCATTCAAGACGGCTTTGATTTAGATACTTTGAGGTGGCTGGTTGATTTTGACTGTGAGACAATAGTGACTTTGAGGCCAATCTCCGGAATTCTTTGGAGCCCAATGAAGAGGTGCGCATCATGGGCCGAACGAAGTCAAATGTCAGAGGATGGTTACACCCATCTCATACAGTCTTCACTGTATCAGGAGTCGGGCGGAACGCTCTTGCAATGAATGAGGGCGTGTTCACCTTCATATAATATGTAGAGCATTTGATGCTCAACAGGGCCCTCGAGGAGTGCGGCAGCTAAAGGTGTTATTGAAGTATCGTGCCGCATTGTATAATTCCGTTGCGACACTTGCCTAAAATGCTCGAGGCCGAAGAGCTTCGTGAAGAACAAATTCTCGGCTATGAATGTCTGTTTGCGGCTGCTTAAAAAGCGGAGACACCATAATCAATCGGAAAATTGACGCAGATAATTAGTATTTGAATGGGAGCAGTGAAAAACGTACATCGCAATGGATACTGCAGATGGGCTTCCGGAAAAAGCAAGTACTGACCATAACATCGACGGCGCTTCCGCTCTCTGTCCTCGGACCGAAAGTCGCTGATTGTAGGTTATCCCGTGGTCTGGGTATGGCGTCGGCTGGATGGCGATCCAAGTGGTGCAGATGGTGGCACGAAACGAGAGACTCCAGCAAGCACTCACGATAGTTACCAATGCTCGCTGGCCCGCCTTCCCCTTGTTGAAGAAAAAGGGGGAGGAAAGCTCTTCCATCCAACGAAAGCAGAAAGTACATTAAGAATTCGGGGATTGGGGGTAACAAAGCCCTTCGCGGTCGATGAACCAGTAAGGATGAGTCACCAACACACAGCGCTACCACTTGCTGAGTGAGCTTTGCCGTTCACGGTGAAATGAATAGCATGATAGAGATCCGCCATACACACGGTGGGAGGGTTTATCTGGTTACCCGGTCGACCGTCAGCTGTCAGTTCCAGTATGGTTTTAAGTAACCACGCCAAATTTTCCAGACCTTCGTGACAGATCCCTCGTACAAAAACTACGGCAAGTGAACGGCTTAGGAGTGTGCTGTCGTCGATCCAGTGCAGCTGCCACGCTGACTGGAAGGGTACAACTTTGAAAACAATACTGATAAGGTTCATTCCTAGCTGGTTGTTGACATGCCGTCAGCCATGATCATAGTGGCCCAGTCAGAAAAAGGGCTGGATTAGTGTCAAATGTGGTCACGCAAATAATGGAGATTGTTTGGCGCAGATGAAGCCATGCATAAACTGGCGTAATCTAAATGAAGTGGACATCGAGGGCAGAGAAACACGTTAATTAGGGGCTTTTGTCTCTAACTGATGAAACCGTTAAAAGTAAAGGATTGTGGGCAACAACACGATGGGAGATGGCAAACAAAAGATCCTGCCTAGCAAGGGAACGTGAGCTGGAGTAGCTAATAAACCGGTACAACGAGTCTGGAGAAGCAACGGTATTTCAGTGACTCAGCCAATCAATATGAATAAAAACCGAAAACCGCTGCTGGAGCTGCGTGGTTTTGGGCAGCTGAGTTTATGACCGCGGTCACGAAAAGCATAAGTGGGGATGATGAAGTGAAGAAATTCGCATTAGGAAGAAATGGTAGCTTGGATTTTGGAAGCACACCGTACAGCAAAATTGTATGGACTCACCGGTGTCGCTGTTGGAGCGGAGTTAAATGTAAAAGTTCATTGAAAAGCGGAAACCGCAAAGAAAACCACTGACATTGTGGTTGTGATATAACACGTTGGTGGGCGCCAGCACCATAACGTTCAGTTTGTGGCGTAAAACTTCCCTTGACACCTTTCGTTTGACGCAACATGATACGTGTTTTGGCGGCTCAGGTGTTAGCTGATTGAGCCCTTCTAGTTCAGTGGTTTAAAACATTTTGTTTTGGTGCACACACCACCATGATTTATCTAGCACATGAGCGGAATTCTTAACTGTTTTAGCTATTTTTGTTGCGGCAGGCGTTTAGCAATTTGGGTCGCTCGAGGCTAAAACTTAGCAAAGGCCTTGTTTTTACCTTTCACGAAGTTGAGGGGCCACTCCCTGCTTGCATGCTTTGCCCGCGTCTGTAGCAGAAAATGACCTGATTTGGGTTACTGCGGTTACTGGACCAGGGTCGGCACGTGGAATACGGGACAGCCAGGTTAGTTCCGGGAAAGGATACCCATAATTGTGGTCACCACTTAGCATCTGGCTTGCAGGTGCGTACTGGGCAGTATTAAGGGAAAAAGGTAAATAACCGTGAATGAGCTAAACAGTTGCTACTCACTTGTGGAATCGCTTCACACAAACGTGACAAAGGACTAATCGCAAAAGACCTGTAAAATCACGCAGCAAAATAATATTCTTCACTCAATGTGTCCTTTAAAACATATAGCAGCACCCTATGCACTTTTGAACAAAGGCTTTTGACGCATCAAAATTGCAAGTTTTGGTTGGCTGTCATCAAATACCCTGACGATTCCCCCATGTTCTCTGCCCATAGGCTAACGCCAGCCAACTTTAAGGGGAAAGTATTGCAGTCCTACTATTAACCTCTAAGTTGCAGATATCGCCATCAAATCACTGATACGTTGCTTGTTACTTTGTAGCTCCTTATAGACTAACCTGGGCCACGAGTTCGACGGTGCACGACAGACAACCACCATAGGCATGAAAGGGTATCCCTGGAGTGCACCCTAGTTGAATAGTCCTCTCGGTCAAGTTAGCCCCAACCGGTAAGTGATTCCCAAAGATCATCGAAACCTTACCACCAAAGGAGCAAGTGGTATCTTGTTTGGACGTTGAACAGGCATTCACTTCTGTGATGTCGCTATCGCCACACATATGCGTCAAAGAGTGTCTGCTTCCGAGTTGAATACCAATCCTGTTACCTTTTATTTAATGCGCTGTTTCAGCAAAACAGGGCTTTCTGCTACTGGCTTACTTCTGATTTTAAATATACACCGATGGGTTCGACGTTGATTTCGGAACTCAAAAATATAGTTTCCACATGTCTGGGGATATTCAAAACCGATGGAGTATGAAGCGCTGAGTGGGTGTCAACATCCTTCACTGTATGGCATTCTCACGGACTATAGTATTTTTTCAGTGGCACAGCCAGCCGGGAGCAACCTAGACGAAGCCGTATCTAGATCAATGACAACGAACAGCGAGGCCAATTTGACATCTCATGTAAAACAAGTCGCATGATGTCCCCCGGTCATGCACTCTAACGTTTCCTATTCGGGTAGGTCTTTATCTCGTTCTATGATGGCACACGGCTAGGAGACTAGCTTGGAGAGTTCGTACTCGAGTTTGAGTTCAACTTTTTGGATCTTCACCATTATCGCGGATAAGTTTGACAAACGTTAATACAACCACGGAGTGCACTGGAATATCGTCTACATACACCACATGCTAGTCACGTAGCCAAGACACAATTTATGAGAACGGGAAAGGTGCCTGAAGCACATGGAGTGAAGAGGATGCTGCCTGACTCTACCGCATCGTTGTCATAAGCAGCAACGCCGGATGAGAACACCAATGCTCACTTCAGTTCAGTGGAGAAAGAAACCGGGCAAGATGAGGACCTGGAGCTATTCTACAATAAACATCTTAGGTGCATACAGCTCCAGCACTCAGTCAGACAACCGGGTTAGAAACTAGTAGCATCAACGTTAATCACACCGGCTAGCCTCCATGTCGTTCAATGTATCCGCCGAAGCACAGAGAGGATCACGTGGACCCAATACCGGGAGGCAAACATCACCAACGGCAGCCAAACGTTTTGTGAAACCCTCCATCCCCCTATGCCATGTCAAATTCTGTCCACCTCTAGGTTACCGCCACTTTGAATTAGATGGAAGGAACAGAGCTTGTCTCGGAGGTTCGTAACTGGGCCTGCGGAGCAACCGACTTACCTTGCAATGCTGAATGCATAGAGTGTAGGAGCAACCAACTTACCTTGCAATGCTGAATGCATAGAGTGTAGCAAAGTAAGCTTCACTCCAAGCCCGTATCTTAACCACCTCATTGATTCCTAACGGTACTTGAGACGCCATTGGCCAAACACCTGGAGAAATCTCAGACCCTCCGCCATAAATGGCAGTCTCGCAGCTGTATGGCAGCACAGCCTGCACTGTAGTCTGATGTGCGCGTCTTTTGAGACCCAGATATGTGCCCATTCGATGGCACAACTGGCTCTGAAATTCGTGCATTGACCCCGATGGTCACATTACCGTCAAAGGTAAGGCGAATTCCAAGACACTTATGGTGTCCCACAAACTAGTGTCACACTTGAATTCTTAGAAGCACGTTCAAAGACTGTACGTCCTAAAGCATGGATCGCACATATAATGCTGTTCAGGCATGTTTAAAAGAACTAACCTGTCAACAGAATCGAACGCGCTCTTGAAGCGTGATGATGTGACCCAAAATGCCTCATCCCGGTCGTAATCCTACTTGCTATTGCGCTTGTAAGATACCTTAAAATGATCGACAGAGTATGGTTACGGCGGGGTAGAGCTGCCTCATTTGCGACTGCTACATACTGAGTACAATTTTTAAAAATGAACACCGTTATCGACCCATCCCGGTTGGTTGGGATGATCTCCTCCCCACCCCCCCAGGCAGATGCACATAACCCAAACAAGCACCGAGTGAGGAATTTACATTCATCTTTGGACAGAATGGGTCAAATTTCATCAGACCCATTAGCTTAGTGAAGTTTGGGGAACAAGGGTCATTCGCTTCTTTCCGAAGTCGATTGGAGTCCCAAGTTCAGCTGCTAGTGTTATTGTACGGGCGGGAAATCTGGCCGAGCAACCACAAGTGACCAGGTGAATTGCTCGTAAGTGTTCAGCCCAACCATCCAGGCATTCCTCTTTCCTCTTGTTATCAGCGAATGTTTCGCTCGCTAGAGGCTTCTTTGAGCTTGTTACGCGTATTAGCTTGAATAATTTGTGCACTTTGCCCGAGTTTCCCGCCTGCTCAATCCCTACAGCTTCTGAACACACCAGGCTTATCGACCCGCGCACAAATTTTTCACTTGAAGTCCAACAGTTCGTCGAGTGGCACTGCTCTACTGACCAGAAGGGTTGTGTCCAGGATTCGGTCAATTTTAAATTCAGTGCTTAGATATAGTTTGTCACGTCATTCACAAGCGGAGCGCTCAACATTTTGTAGCACTGCGGACACTACCTTCCAGTAGGAGTCAACATCAGAGGACTTGTTGCTGTAGGGGACTTCGGCAGCGTTTTACTTGCCACCCTGATAGATGTTGTCAAATGAACCGCACATAGGCTTATATTAACGGATGAACAGTCAAGCCAAGACCTAGTTGGCTAGAACAATATCAATCCCAGCGAAACCGGAGGTAGCGGCTTCTGGATCATGAGACGTGCATACACGCGAGCGCAAAACAAAGGGGAAATCACTTCAACGACTGCACTTGGGTTCTGAGTCCTCGTTTCAGAACACAACATATTACTAGAAAGTGAGTCCAGCAAGTATGCAAGAGAAGTCTGTTGTCCAGCTTGTTTCAGATAGCAAAGGCAACCAGATGAGCTGAATTTCGGGGGTTGAAGAATGATCCTAAAGTTTCTGCGGCCTAGTCGACCGTAGATAGTGCAGCGAATGGGCGGGGAAGGGACCTGGCAGTTCTTAAGAATGTGCCTACAGGAGTGCCGCTAGCAACATGACGAGAAGAGGGGGTAAGAACGAGTAATTGAGAAAAGCGAGGCGTTAGCAGTGGCATATCTTCGCATACCTGCCCTGCTATATGCAGCAAGGCGACCCGGTTGATGGCATCATGCGACGGCCGGCGTGGCTTGGGGTTAGGTGTAGGTGTAAAATTCACGGTTGTACGTGGATTCGAGTATTGCCGGGATGCCTACACACATAAACAGGAGGACAATTAGAGTCCTCAACCAAAGCCTTTGGATCATAAGTCTAACTGCAAGGCAGCGATGGTTGGCATAAGATTGAGCACAGCCCAAGTGCATCCATCATAATAGAATAAGTCTGCTGTGTATATACATCTCTTACACGTCAGAATGAGAGTACCAAAATACGGCGAGGATAGCGGAAAATCAATGCAAAAATTAGTGGAGAGTATACAGTTCGATTCAGAAGTACACGTTGCTGCTTGCGAAGAAGGGTGATTCCATCATACTGGTTCATCCAGTGCCTAGGTGAATGAGCAGAGGATAATTAGATTACCAAAAGCCAATGAAAAGCAAACAGACAGTAAGTACTCAAACGTTCCTACTGACTACACTAAGTATAAGCAAAGTGATAATGACTACCACAAACAACCGTTGTACGCCTAAGATGGGACGGAAGTCATACAGCGAGCCCTGTGCTGAAGACTGAGATGATAGCTGTCAATCGTGTCGTCAAACAAAGGTCCACAGAAGTGACGTGTCCCTGATTGGACTAAGGTAATCGGGCAAATGAGTTCAGAGTATCAGTCCAAGCTTTTGAGCCTCATTTAGGCATCATGGAGTTTCGGCGATGCTGGGGAATTATCCCACAAGACTTTTCAGCCAAAGGAACGTTTGCTTTAGTGGACAATGAAATTTGGTGAGCTGCATGAATATGAACGTAGAATAGGATGGATTTCGGTTTGAGTATATACGCGACAAAATGCAACATTTTGGCATAAAAAGTTTTACTCCACCCGCAAAAGGTTTGCAGCTGAGAGCTTTGTGCGGCCAACAGGCCTTTATTTAGGCGAGAGCAGTACAAAGGTGGACTTGTATCGCTCATCTAACACACTGTACACATGACAAAAAGCTCACTTTTAAAGCTGCCCCAACTAGGTACAAGCTCCCAGTGACCAAAATATGACACCGCATAGTGCTTTCGAGGCACCCGACTGTATGGTTGATGGAAATGCGATCAGTATTCTCAGGGAAATCTGGCGGTTGTGGGTAGGAATTCAGGAAACCGGGGACATTGATGGGAACCCGAGAGAGCCAGTCGACGAACTGCGAAACATTCGGGATACGATAAGCTGGAACCGAGAGGTTGTCGGCAGGTTCGCGTGCGCAAAGTTCATTCCACACGGTCAAGCATCGCGCATCCATCGACTGTTTACTTGGCAAAATGACTATAAAACAGAAAGAAATTTAACCAGTGTGGATATACCCGATCAGAGAAATCAAGACAAAACTACTGAAGAGTACAGATCCAGTTGTGGCTTAGATGGTGCCCAGAAGAGTTTGATGAAACGAAGATCTTCGAACTTGTTGACTACGGGTCACTTTCCCGTCTATAGTCCAGAGGGCTGTGGGAAAAATAGATCTAAATTGTTTAAGATTTGTTCAAGGTTGTGGTACGATTCTTAAGATATGAGTCCCCATGTTCCAGGTGGCGACAGCTGTTAAATCAGACCTCATTTCAACACATACTTCGGTCTTTTTCAACAATAAAGGATAAGCGTTGGGTGACAGTGCAATCTACAACTTTCGGGCCTCTATGCTGACTGTTTTGACCCATCTTTTTGGCGACCACTATTGAAAATCAATATGACTTATGGAAATGCGCCAGATCCGGTTCACCGGGGCTAGTTCGGAGATCTCTGTGACAGAAATCAGCTGACTCACAGAAATGTCTTTGTTGGGTTCTAGGCGCGTAGTGCTGATCAGCTGGAAAACTAAACGTGCAAATTATCTCATTGTGGATTTCATCAGAAAAATGTACTATTTGGAAGTGAAATCAACCAGATTCACAAGCGAGGTGTACTTTACAGATATGTTAAGGAAAAGCCGTTCCACGCGATTTACGGGATGGGAGCTTGGATAAATGAACGCTTCTACAAAAGTTCGAGGTAGGCGGTGTATCCCGCGAATGTTGAGTGATATGATCCATCAATGAGTTGAGTGAAAAAGGAAAACTCAACACCACCAAGCAACCACCTGGCGAGGCGAAACATTCACTTGGATTTCAGTAATGCCCTTCCTTAGTGAACACCAAAGAAGGCAAATCCGCCGCACGCGTGAGTTCGGACCGACTTATCCGACCACCTTCCACTCTACAAGGAATCCACAATCCAAATGAGATAGACTCAGACGGCACGACATTCCTCAATGAGATCCCACTGTGACGGTTCCATCTTTGCTCGCTCCGTGATAATATTCCTAATGTGTGGGCCCACAGCACTGCCGTCCATTAGTCGTCAAACTTATCTCCAGGCTCACATAAGTCCACAGCATTGACAATATCGATACTTTCCACCGCAAGCACCAAATGACTGCTACATGCTACCATGACTTCCGACCTTGCAAAGGAACACTGACTGTCTGATGCCTCTCGGCGTTCCACTTCGTAATTTATGGCCTTCGTATTCTCACTGGGGTACTTCGAGTGCGTAGGTTCGTTAAACACCAATGCTAGATCTGAAAGATTCACTAGCATTACCAATCCACAGGTTACCACACGCGCATACTACACACGGACTACTTACTAACCCAGGACAACATTCCCGGATTGGGAGAAGAAACGCCGTAATAAAGGGGTTAAATGCTATTGGATACGGCAGTAGAAGTGGATACATTTCGACTAAATTGTCAACCAGCACAATATAACGATGAGTGACTGGCGTCCGAATAGAATTTGCCAACCCAAAGTTCTCAAACCACTGGGCGTCTCCGCAGAGTAGGAGAACCACAGACGGTTTGCATTGGGCCGAATGTGGTCTTAATCCACAAATTTAATTGAATCGGCGCAGGAGTATGCAAAATAGTTGTTTTCAATGTGTTTGTCACAATGAATCAAACTGGTATCCCGAGAAGGTGCTCTCTTGAAGAGAAGTTGATATACCATCTATAACAACACAATATACAAGTGGACATGTACGGCTCGATGTCACGCAGTCAATGACCGTGATTAAGCACGAAAGCGCAGCTGACGTGCCTACCTACGAAACGCGATGGTCTATTCTCCACGTTTCACGGCACAACGAACAGAAAAGTCCCCGAACTTCGATGCATTTGTGAATATCTCATTTAGTAAAATGACACCGAAGTACAAGTAACGCCATGTACCAAGTGTGAGTTAGTCACAATGCTGACCAGCTACTCGCGGTTTAGTTTACTGACCGGGAGGTAACGAGTTTGAATCACCCTGGAGATCCGTGAGATGCGTTCTGCTTTGATAATTCCCAACAAGAATGAAAAGAAGGCTTTGCAGCAGACGTTCATTTCACCTTCAGGATGAAACCCCGATCGTACAACGTCACAGTCGGGCATGCGGTAAGGAAGCTGAACATTTTATTCAGGAGCTGATAGCAGTGCACTATGAACAACATGAGTCTGGCGGATTCGGACATATTAAATCGCAGGTAGATCGCATGGACCGGTTAGTTGCTACTTATTCGCAAGATTAACAAGCTAGACTGCCGGTAGTCAGCCTCAACTCGACAGCAAATTAGTGGGTTTGCCATACACACACACACACCTGGGAGGCTTCTCCGGTTTCGGAATTCCTCAAAGTTAGGGTTACCATGAAGCATTTTTTTCCCTAGAGATAGATAAAACCAATTATGTACCGTATCGAACCCCCAAAGTCGTTCTATCTAACCTACAAGGTTGTAAAAGGATACCAGCTGGCTAGTTTCTGTCCAGCGTGGCTTCCAGTGAACGGAGTGCTACCATTGGTACCACCAGCATCACAACAACATAAAGTGACAGTATGGAATTGTAAAACAAGAACAGTGTGTTTAGAAACTTACCAAACTCCCCATCATGTGGGTTAGCAAAAAGCGCCAAATCAAAACCAGGTTTAACGGTGGACTGAAACAAACAAGAGACATACTACACTTGTAATATGAGTGGGACAACCCAGAACTACTAACAATCTACATAATACGAGTGTAACGGTGATACTACAGAGGGAGGCATGCGAGTAGTATGTTTTTTCTTGTAAATTCGCTTTGCATCCCTTGAAAGGGGAGATCTGTTGCGGAATTTGTGGAGTCGCTTTGCAGCATTTGCTTGGATTTGAGCAATGAATGATTGGAGTCAATGAATATACAGGAAAGTTCAGGAAGACGCGTTCAAGAAAAGATGGATGTTCAGTTTTTGTAAATAGGATGCAAATGAGAGTTTCGCTTCCCTGTCCAATAGCCTGTAACTGGTCAGTTTGCATTTTCTAATAAATAAATCCGCAACGAAGGCCTTCTTCCATTTTACGAATAGTAAACCAGGTGTGACCATGTCACACACCGGAATTCTACCCATAAATGTTTGTGTTTGTTCTGAAAAGGTCGTTGTAGCGGGTTAAAGAAAATAGGAATAGACGTTGATGTGATGGATGGTTGTTAGAATTTGAAAGGTATTCCTGAGGTTTTCTATTGAGGAAAATGTCGGTAGCTCAGGTAGCGTAGATGGTCAATGGTTTGTTCGCTGAGCTTGGCATCTTGATTGGGGATGAAAAGTTCCCAATCAAATTCCCCAGATCCTGAGGTACAGGTAGAACGGACTCGACGGGCCCACCTCTACCTAGCGAACAGAAGGTCTAACGACTAAGCTACCGAGGAGCTCGCCTATACAGTCACGCCTATACACTGGGACTTCACAGAGGATTCGTCACACCCTTGCTCAGTGGATCATCGTCCGATACCTGCCAGTACAGTTAGTGAGCCCTTTTCTGAGCGGACGATGATACTGTCCGATTAGCAAAGGGGATTGATGCAAATTGTTAAAAAGTGGAGGAGGATTGTGTAGATCTTGAAATTAGTACAGGAAGCATGAACGAAAGACCTCATTTCAAAACTGTTGACAACAAACATGTCCGATTTTTCCACTCTTGCACACACTGTTAGAGCTGTGGGGTACATGAGCAAATTTATTGTCAGAACATTTTACCGGCGGGATATTCAGAATCTCGACAAATTAGCAACGGGGACGAGATTGGGCTAACTGTGAAGAAGCCCATAAAGTTCGGGACAACTAGATTAATCACGAAAGTCAGCGAAGCACACGGTACTTCCGAAGTGACTCGCGTATGTTGCAGTCTCTGATGACGAGCTTTCGTCAAACATCCTGAGTGAAACCGAGAAACCAACCGGTTACCTTGAGCAATGGGTAAGGAATGTTTTTTCCGACAATTGACACTACGTTGTCTGAATTTGGAGTCGGCTCCCAGGACGTTGGATACTCAGGCGTAGTGTACAAACCAACATACCACTTGTCAATTACTGGTGAATTCGCTGTCGGCGCGAACACGATAGTGGAGGTCGAATTAGAGCTTGTGGAGACCAGGACGAACTACAGCTTACTCAAACAAAAGGCCACCAACTGAGTAACCGGATGATGAACTGCTTCACCAGAAACGGTTCGCCAACCATTGGAATCGTACTTCACACAGCCAGGCTGCAGGAGCTATGTAACATTGACAGCTGCTCGGGATCAGGGTTCCCACCGAGTTGTTGTATTAGAGATGAGAAGTAACACAACGTTTTGACCAGGCAGCAAGTGAAATTGAGAACAGCGAATCAAAACCTTTTGAACGAAACTACCACATTCCCACTTGTTGCATCAAATATATTGGATTGTTAACTGTGAAATGATCAATAGATACAGTTGGTAGTTTCAGTGGCCCTCGTGAAACGCTTACAACACTTTTGAAAAAAGTAAACACACAAAGGACGACGTGGAAATCATACAGGGAACCCAAATACCATAAAAATATTACAAAATTGGGTGGAGCCATGTGTGAGCTCGGATCGATCAATCTCGAATAAGCTAAAAAGGCCAAACGCTAGGATGTATCGTAATACAATGCCGTTTGATGGTTTCGACTCCATTTCTTCACATCAGTGTCTAAGATGGATACACGGGTGGCTAGATCATGAAGCCAAGAGAAAGAGAGGAGGAGATCGGTACACTACCGACATACCTTCAGAGCTTTCAACATCGGTTCTGGATCGCGCGGACCCAAGACGGTGAAGATGAGTACACGCGCCAGTGGTGTGGAACAACTGATGAGGAAAAAACAGAAATAATGCCAGTAACATTGACATCAACAAATATAACTAGTATACAGGAAAGGCCTGGCATTCGAGACAGCCCAAGGGCCATGGAACGTGTTTCTGAATAGTGCGTCTATGGGTAGTTTCCGTCTGTAACTTTCTGACTGGTCCTGTAGAAGGAACCATGTAGTATATCAGGAGTGCGTAACAGTTATGCGCCAAACACTTAGATTTGACGGTTAAATTAAAGAGAAATTAAGTTGATCATGAGAAATCTCTGCAACCAAGCTGCGGAACGTACTCAGACAAAGCACGGCTACATGCCCACTGGAACCACTCGGCTGCCATCTGAAATGGGGACAACGAAAGAGCGAGATTGAGTAGAATGAGCAGACGAGCAGCAAGGCATTGCGAATAATCAAAGAGGACGCGATAAGAAAAACATCAACCCGGATCAGGAAGCTAACGGGAACGCAAAGAGGACGCAGTCTACGACAAGGTAATGACCAACGGAATTTGTGAAAAGATGCTTGTGTCGGGTAAACGTGGAAAAATACAAACTGATTAATTCCGTGCAACGATAAAGCACTCAAAAAACTACGGAGTTGTTGGGATAATAGGGAAATAGAAAGAGCATGAACGTGGCTAACATTTATTCCGCTCTATACGTCCACTGAAACATCAGGTTGTTATCAGGCTACAAATCAAAATAATTATTACTAGAACGAGCACGTTGTTCTGAGGTAAGTCTGGTCCCCGGGGGAGGGGGAACGAAGTAATTAAAAAGCCACTTGGTCCTCCGTAACTATCTGACCAACACATGACATAAAAGCTGACTTTTTCAACGCAAAGACTATTTGAGGAAACATAAAAAGATCACGTGTCAGATTTGTGAAAGATGAACTGAACCAAACACGATAGCCCCTACCAACCAGATGTGGAAGTAAAAAAAATCGAGAAATTTCGAGAGATCAGCATCAGTTCCTTTCAGTCCTCTTGAAAAACGTACTTAAAATTAATTCCACTTTTCAGTCCCTTTTTGAAACACAGGTATTTTGATGAGCCCGTATAGGTTTTCGATGGGGTCACGTCAGAATTAGGTCAGCCTATCTCAAAACTTGATACTCATAACAGAACTAAAAGAAATAGGTGAACGAATGCACCGTTCTGTTGGAATACGTAACATTTGCCTGGTTATACCACAAGAAAGATTGTCAAAAACGACCGTAAAGGGACCTAAGTCTGGGCTCTAGTTGGAGAGTCAGTCTCATCAGTCCAAAACCACGAAATATTTGTCATGTTGCAGGTGTATCGATCAGTAGATTTCATTTTTGCGCTGACGGCGTCCGTAAAACTTACAGATGACACGATCAACCCATCGGTAATTGTGCCCATCACTAATTAAAACGCACGGCTATGAATCCAGGGTTCAATTTTTGACAAGTAAGGTATGGAGGCTCATCTCTGATAAGTTAGGAATTCTTGTCATGGCGACGCTGACTTTTTATTCTTCCTGATTCGGAACATTAGGTTCCCTTCATCCAGAAAGAAGACAATGGCTACAGGATGTCGGCATATCGCTTTCATCTCCCCAACCACAATATTAAAAAAACAATTTTCCATCACAGAGGGACAAGTGACAATAAAACAGTGGAGAGGAGCCAGTCAGATCCGGTTCTCGAGTTTGAAGTAAGCTGATAGCTTGTGTGTTAGTTAGAAGAGAGGATTTTTATGCAGTCGTTTAGTCTTACCATCGGCTTGATCCGGAATCTAAAGTGAGTGACACCTCGAAAAATAGGTTGGAATCTCCTGTATCATATCTCTTACACAAAAGGCTACCGGATTACGGAGCTTTTTGTTTTAGAAAACAACTTCAAGAAACACAGACAAGAAGTTCGTCCTCCATAGGGAGGAATACGGTTGCAGAGGATGAAACTAGGGCATTTCGAAAGCAAATGCTTCATTGAAGGCGCTTTTGTCCGACGCTCGTTCCTGGGTTAGATCACGGCGTTTTGCCCTCAGTCGAATCGAACAGATATCCAGAACGTACCATATGTGGAGACCGGGAACAGTACTAGATTCCAGTCGGAGTGAAGCTTGAGTTCAGTGGCTTGTCACTGTATGAACTAATTAGGTTATGATCGACCCGGAATACGATGAATATTCAGAGGATTTATCGTTATTCGAAATACACTGTTTAAACTACAGCCGATGATTAAGTTAAATACACTGAGTGATGACCACCAAACGCGTCTATTTTGAGTGAGAATTTTGTGCTAAATTATTTCGTTCTCTTCTTTCGGCAACCTTAATTTGTGACAAGCTCTCACTGATGCGTTTCATTATTTGATGATCTCGGCTACTGTAGTCCTGGTACTTTCCCAGAAGCAAGCTAAGAAAACAAACGGTTATTTCTAACTCTGGACATCAGGCTGATGACCGAAGGGGCTCGCTTGAAGTGGGGAAATGACGTTACAGGAAAGGGACATAACGGTTTCCTCGAGAACAGGAAATACACACCATTCGCCAGAAAACGTACAAGAGTCATTGGTGGATCTATAAAAGTGGACTGCACGTTTCCACATATATATGCCCAGCTGGCACCAGATCCGGGACTGTCGATCAACAGTAGTTGATCCATTGGACGCCAGCGCACCGTAGGTAAACCATAGGCGGTTCGTTCAGAACTGAATGTGGCCGATGTAAACCCAAGAGAATAAGATCGGTAGCCAAACACTGAAGTGCCACTTGGACGGGAATGGATAGCTAGGTGGTGAACTAGTAGTCGGATTGCCAGTGGTTCCCCCAACTTGTAAGATGAGAGTACAGTCTGGCTGGTGTTGATTAAAAAGCGGAGCAGACTTACCTTTGACAGATGCTGACTGCAAATGGAAGAAACGTCTAGGTGATTCAGTGACACTTCCGTGGTGGTTTAAAGTGAGTATGATGGTGACCAGTCAGTTCACTTCTGCTCAGGCATTTAAAAGTTGCACAAATCCAAGTGACTGTGGTTGTATTGGGCATTGTACAACCGTCTCGAATGACGCGTTTGCGTTCGAGGGTTGAGGTAAGCTGTACCTCACAGCTCTTCAAGCCTGTGTACCTGGCAGTCCGCCAGGCTACTCTGTCAAGTATCAACTGTCCTCAAGTCCCGGAACCGGTTAAGCCTACCACATAGAGCGAAGTCTGATGGGCCTCCGCGCACGAGTAATGTCATACATGACTTGCGATGGGCCGCATGTGCAACTGTACCCGTTATACACCCGAAGGGTTGAGACCGGAGGATGGACCTGAAGGGGCAGTTTTAAACTTACCGGCCCACCCATTTGGCGGCCCAAAATTGTTCGCCCCAGGAGGTACAGTTGACCAGCTGAGGCCCCTAATGTACGCGAAAAGTGGTCTGGTGGCTCGCACCACGGTATGCATGTTAGTAGTTATTCAATTTAGTATGTACGACGAAGGTTAGTGGGAGTCAACTTCAGTGTTGTTGTATAGTTAACATCCTGGATGGTCCAGTGTTTAGGCGGGCCTTCGTATACGTCACAACGAAGAGATATAAGACAAACTTAGCCGAGAGAAAACAGTAGAACACAACGAAAACACATTAGAAATACTTAGCAAAGAACGAAGAGCTAGGAATGGAAACAAACAGAAAAATCGGCATTTAAATCCAGGGAGATTAAGCGAACCAACATGTTCTCTTGAGAATTGGGCGATAATAATGAAATTCGAACAGAAGCGAGCGCTGTCTACCACTATATGTACAGTGTAATTGTATTATCTTCAAGTTTGTACGACAGCGAGACATTGACGGTACAGAGGCGTCACATCCGGTAAACCTGCTCAACCTGTGGATGCATCTGTATGAGCGAAATTAGACTTGTGGACATCAGCGCTCCCATACTTTATCAGTCGCGAAGTGCCGACGGATAATTTGAGATGTGCTGATTACAGTTCTTAAAACATTAAACGATACCTCTGCGCATCTATGCTATCCAGTTATTCGTGACAAACGAGATGGTTCGTGCCGAGCATTCGGCATAAAACTGAGGCGTTATGGAATCGACGGATAACAGACGCCTTAGGGATTAATGTGGTGTTACAGCTCATTGTAACACCATCATGCTTAGGCTGCCAACAGGCCTCCGCGAGTTTACCTGCCGATCTTGGTCCCTCGGGTTTACATCGGATTCACAGGCTCACATGCAGTAATACATTTGGGTTGGCGCAAACCGTTTGTATTGTCACAAGCATGCGCAGTCGTCCAGTGATCCAATCACTGTTGACAGGCAAATTCGCATCAGATGCAAGCCAAAATACATACTCGCATAAGCCTAGTATATGACAAAGGGCCTGGGTGCCGCAACTGAACAGACATCCCGTTTAACCTCATTTTCAGCCTCAATGAAGGCATTTTGCGATCTTGCCACACCAAACAGGTCATATTTCTAATTTAGGGACTTAGAAACGACAAATCATGTGTCATATGATCTGACCGGTCGTATGCGTCATACGACCTAGCGTAGCACCCAACGCACACAATACGAAACAAAGTGTATCCTTCCGTGCGAACAGGTTTGAAAACTGTATTCACTGATCTCTAAAACAGTGGTCCGAGCTGAGCTCGAACGACTGGTCACTCTGACAAGCTCCGCTACTGAATTGGATCAAGCTAGCCTGAGCATTTTATTCAAATGTCTATCGCCTTGAACGTTGTTTTCCCAAGGTCTAGTGCTTACAAGTTGTTTTCTATGACCATTGTTTCCTCCGAACGCCCATATATATATATATATATAGCCTATGAAGATATATAACTACAGCTCCTAATTCTCATCAGATCATTTCAGCAACAGTTCGAATAATTGAACATATGGGGGCAAGATGGTTTAGTGGTTAGAGCGCGAATTTACTGACCGGAAGGTCCATGGTTCAAACCCGACCTCGACTTCCCCTGTCTAGACTTGGGTAGCCTGGCAGTATCCCAGCACTCGTGCTTCCTTCCTTCAGCATGGCAGTTAGGTACCGAAAGGGTGTTATAGCTAAACGATTTATTTATTTATTCGCTTGAACAGAGGATAGAATAATATGGCATTCGAGCTCAATTACGTAATTGGTTGCATTCTACTCCACACAGTAACGAGTTACCATCTAGCTGAGCGATGGCCCCAAACTGGCTAATGTTGTTAGGCAGCAAGATGAGAAATGGTACCATTACTAGAGCAAAAGATGGACATACCGTGGAAGGTTTCAAGGAGTGTAAATTTAAACTGCAGTCTGTCGTAAAAGACCCCCAGTCAAAGTGAAAGAGTTTATGTACGTAGAAACGTGCGACCCATTGTCTGTTCATCCATTAGTGGACGGTCCACATGCATTTTTTGGCAAACAGTGTACTGGAAAGGTGTTCGAATACGTCCATAAACACGCGACATGGGTCTATTACTCACCAAAATTCATACACAAACTCAAGTTGAGCGTGGTCAAGACACTGCACCAAAAAGTTCAAACATCCGAATACCTGAACACTTTCGTTCGTGTGAGCTCCATCCAAAAAGTAAGTTGCATTTTTTCGAACGACTGTCTGCCAGCGCCCGGGCCAACGTGCACACAAAGCACCTGGAACGAATGACAACAAATGAGGTTATCCATGTATTTTTAAAACATTAATTACCGCTTTGTAAGATTTTTATCAACCATTAACCTGATGTGCGATCGTACACCACGCCATAGCATTTTGTAGAAGTCATCACGCTAAGCACTGTCCAAGACTCTGAGGCGTGTACATGGATATTGGAGCACCGATCGCTATTTATTGCCATAAGTAGGGGGAGGGGTGACAGGATATTTCAACCGGTTCACACTCACTAAATCAAGAGCTACCTTCTACTCCATCATGCGAAGCTACTGAAACAGTTCACTTGTAGTCTCCCTGAAGTATAAATAAGTGCTTTTTGCAACATCCGTACAAAATGGTGTTTAAGTAGGATATAAGGGTGACGGAGATTTGGGGACTAGACTAGTCTGATGAGCTTCAAGGTGAGTGGGACGGATGATGGACAGTTCAGAGTCTTCATCGAACTTACGAGTAACATTGTTTGTGGACTACTTAAACCTGAACTGTTTATTTCTTCGAGAATTGTCAAAACTTGTTTTTGTACAAAGAAAGAGATTTATTCCATCAAAATCTTCTCCAAGGGAGTTTGGGGGTGAAAGCCGCTATTCAAGTACAAGACAATCTTTTTCGGTGAGTATTCACTAGCCCTAATATTTTCACATCTCAGTTTACTGGTTAATCGGGATATCGGAAAGCGTTCCCAGCCTTTATGCATGCAAGATGGACGGATGGTGAGGTGTTCTATTCGCATACCCACCATTCGTGCCCATGAAGCTTTGTCAGGGCACTAAGTGATAATACAACGAAGGCTGAGGACGATGTACGGCGTGCCATTTCAGGAGGAAGTTCTCCGAGGAAACGCCAATTTTTCGGAGGGGACAGAAGCCCTGTGATGGTCCTCAGTTTTCTAAAAGAGACTGGGAAACGTGCCAAACGAGAATACAATTAATCGAATTAATCTCGCACCAACCAGTAGCTTGTACTATCACATGTAAAAGACAACGGAAGTATGGTGTAAGTATTCTGCCCAATACGTACGCAGGTAAACTATGGCAAAGCCAGTATCTCATGAAGCAGCCATCAAGAACGAGACCCCCATGAACACAGAAGTCGTTCTTTTTTCAGTTCACAAGAAAATCTTGGCTTCTTCATGAAACGGCAGGCGTAAGTGGCATGGTATGGGAGGGCAGATAGACAACATATCGTGGGCGGACTGGCCCTATGTATAGACCGTTCGATGTTTTGAGCGTGTGCTCAAATTGCACCGATTGATCACGCTGCCACATATACACGCCGCATGGTATGGAGGGCAGATAGACAACATATCGTGGGCGGACTGGCCCTATGTATAGACCGTTCGATGTTTTGAGCGTGTGCTCAAATTGCACCGATTGATCACGCTGCCACATATACACGCCAGTACTTGCTCGACGAGGCACAGCTAAGATATATATTTGGTAGTTCCATGTTCTATATAGCTCTGACAGCCTTTCAAACCAAGGGGGCGGATCCACATATTTGAAGGCCTGCTAAACATCTAAGTTACTGTGGGTGAACTTGAACTGTGTAAAACCTTCATTCCTTCCCGCATCGGGTTGATGCAGCCCAGTCAGTCACCGCACAGCTAAATAACAGCAAAACATTGGCAAACTCACTTTCGACTTGATGCGTATCCAGTTTGAATCGAAGTGGAGGTTGTAAACCTGTTAGAATGAATAAAAAAGTGACAGAGATCAATGTGTTTAGTATATGAAGGGCGAAATCGAGTTTAATAAGGGATGGACAAGCGAAGAGGTCCGGTGACGGAACTGGGCGAACTCACCGGAAGAGAACTGAACTCCTCGGCGTCGCTGTAGCCAAATATGAACGGCAGCCAAACCAAGTATCATGTTGCGGGTACGAACGGAGTGTGAGTTATCCGAAGGATAAGTGGCATGAAGGGTACCTAAAACCTTCGCTTTTACCTGCGGGTTATCTGCGCAGAGCTCTTCAAAACGAGGGCAGATGTAGAGTGGACACTGAAAAACGAATGGCCAAACTGTTTGAAAAATATATTGAAAAGTGAAGTACTTTTGATCAGTGGACCTCTATACAACTTATCTGACATACAAACACCTGTCCGTGCTCCCAGGGGATAAAGAGGTAAATCATCATTCAACTGTGACACCCTTTCGGTGCCCAGTTGCCATGCCACCCGAAAGAAACACGAAGGCTGGGATACTGCCAGGTTGCCCAAGTCTAGACGGGAGAAGTCAAGATGGAGAGATCGAGTTCGAACCATGGACCTTCCGTTCAGTAAATTCGCGCTCTAACCACTGTTTGAGGCAATCCAGATATGATACGTTAGGACGACCACACTGCGGGACAAATCAATAGTGCCGTCTCGTCGAGATGCCAGTCTTTTAGGTTGATTCACCTTGAAACCGTTATAAGCCACTCTGCTACATTTCTACTAAGCGTGTAGATAGCACTGCGAATTACGGTTCTAAAGTCCTGTTTCAGGCAGACAAAAACTCTGTTTTGGGGTCACAGAGGTTTGCAGCTTTGTGGACTTGCAATGCCAGTGTAATTTACGGGTCCGAGTAGCCGCACAAATCGATCAATCCAAACCACTCACAATATCAAATAAAAGGTAATGCTTGATGCTGTAGGAGGAGGGTATTACTACGTTATCTTGCTCCGATATCACGCCCAACTGTTTATTCATGACGAGTGGAGATTCTAATGATTCCAACGTCTGGATGTGGAAATTAGCAGTGCTGATTTGTTCACTTTCGGTAAAATTGATCAATCAATTTATCAACTATAAACCACGTACCATGGGTAGACTGGTTCCCGCTTCTAGTTCCGACTATTGCAAGATGGACAGTGTGGGAGACATAAAGCCAAGCATTGGAGGCAACTGCATGTTCAGCTATTTCTGGACCTGGGTAATGACACAGTGAAGGCAATAGCTTGGATGCATGAGCGCCACTGACTGCGCGATTGAGTCATGTCTGCCAGTGTCAGTAACCAATGTTGAGTTGAGTCTCAGGGTCCCATCAAAGGAGGTGGTAGTTGTCAAACCGAATGAATTTACTGGTTAGTATTTTAATACTTCGCTGCCAGGCCATACACCTCTGGATCGCTTCCACTCAGTACAGGGGTGGGCGAAAACAGCTATGCGAAGCAGACGTTCTTCTGGCATGCGGAGTACATGTCCCAACCAGCGCAACCTATGGGGGCGTGAGTAATTCATCTATCGTAGGAGAGTTCCTTATTTTCAAAACCATCTGGCGTACCTAAGCATTGCTAATCCAATGTTCCCACCCACGGTCAAATACTGATAGCTTTCGTACGTCCTATGCATGTATAGGCCACGTTTGATATATAATTGGGTGTGGATCGCACTGCTACACAGTAAACGCTTCCCTTAACAGACAAACTGACATCTCATCGGCGTCATACGTATCGGAGGTTGCAATGGCTGCCCTGACCTTCCCGATTCGGGAAGTCATCTCGTCTCCAACCAGCCCACCGGAACTTATACAAGTGCCCAGATAAACATGTCGGTTGGCTCGTCTGGAAGTATGAGGTTCGGGTCTGATCCCACCCAGTCTTGTAGCAGCACTTTACACTGCGGTTGTGAAGCGCATGTCTTGCGGACATGGAAATAATGCCCGATTGCAATCGGCCTCCTTCATACAGCTGTACTATCTACAGTACTTCTGCGTCCCTTCTTTATCTAAATGGAAGTTACAAAAACCAATGAAGACAGGGGCGCGTCTCTGACAGTGGGATTCAAGAGACGTAGTCCAAGATAAGAGTAACTGAAAATGAGTGCATATAACCCGGCGCAATTCTTTGTTCTGTAGCTCACATTTACTGTAAGTTCGTGCGTATTTTGAGACAGTGGGAAGAGACGTAGTCCAAGATAAGAGTAACTGAAAATGAGTGCATATAACCCGGCGCAATTCTTTGTTCTGTAGCTCACATTTATTTAAAGTTCGTGCGTATTTTGAACGCACCTTAAGTATGGCACAGTTACACTCGAAAGCTCTCTCTCTCTCTCTCTCTCTATATATA